GCTCAGTTTTTCATCCATTTTTCATCAAGCAAGAGTAAATCACCAACAGCATGTGGTTTATTCAGTCATGAATAGTGGATTGCATACTCTGTCTACTTGCGCCTCATGAGTCTGCTTACATGGAAGAGTCAGGGTGGAAAAGAGTTTTTTCTACGCCGTGTGACAGATACGCTCCAGTATAATTGTACTCTATCCCTAGTAGCGTTTTAAATAGTACTACAAGTGTTCAGCAGCGGTCAGATTAGATGTGTTTTTCTTGTATATTATCTCCCAGATGGGTGAGTTGGTGATGACTTGCTTGGAGCTTTTTTTTCTTTAATACCAAAACCTGCCAACTCCCACAGCTGGCTTCCATCACTGCATGTTTGTGTGTGTGTTTTATGCCCCAAAGAACCACAATGTCAATGCATCAGGCCTGTCAAAGGCGGCAACCCAATATCCAAACTGCGTCACTGCGTCGTCTCATCTCATCGTGGGCATTACAACATATAGAAAACATCATACAGTGTTTTCAACTTTTTATAATCAGAGGATTTTTTTTAATTCCTTCTTGAATAATTTGCTAAAACCATACTTATTACAACTAATATTTCTTTATACGCTGCATGTCCCAGTCACTCACTACTGCCTGTTCTGAAGCTAATCTTAACTACAGCTGGCAGTGGATCCAGGAGTTATTAAACCTAGTTTGTAAGCTGTAAACTGTTCCTCTTACTGAATCGCTCACAGATGATTATCAACAAAAATGCTGCCTTTTTAAGAAGAACGCATGCAGATACCTTTTAGACATATGCCTGGTGTTGTGGTTCTGTCATGAAATATCCGCAAGAACGTTCACTAATTCAACAGCAACCCACTAATTATAAAGATACGAAGAGTTCATTTGCAAAAACAGAGAACTCCATTTTTGTAGATTTGCAGAAAACGTATTTTGTTGTTGTTTTCTTGAGATAAAATCAATCAAACTAAAGCTGAGTGAATTTGACTCAGTAGAATAAGATGACAAAAATATAGACAACTTACGTTTGATTGATATTGTCTCAGGTAGACGATGGAGAAGTGAGTTTTTTTGAAGCTTTGTGAAGATGGAGTTGTCTGTTTTTGCAACTGAACTCTTCATATTTTGGTGGGGCAGAAAGACAACTTTGAGATCCGTACAACTAAACATGAAACACAGTCTGCAGGTTCTGGAAACAACATTTCAGTACCTTTAGGTTATTTTACAGCATCATTAAATCTGTCACATAAACTGTACCGATATAAAAACTGCTGCAGCTTCACACTCAGCGGTACCGAAGGTATGCTGGAGTACCAACGGCTTTGCGGATCATTTGCTAAAACCGTACTTAAACTTATAAAATTACTTTTGATAGCTTTAATTACCCTCTTTTTTTTCCTCGCTCCTCACATACTGCCTGTCCCAGTCGCTCACTGCTGCCTGCTGTGAAGCTAATCTTAACTACAGCTGGGTGGGTGGATCCAGGGGTGAGCTATGCAGGCTGGTATTGTAAAGGGTAGGTGGGTGGCTAATGTGGTTAATTTGCTTGTCTTGGACTTGTGGTCCGTTTTGCTGAGCCAAATCCTTTCATTTCGGAGGGGCGACTGCATTCCCAGGTTTGCGGAGAAGTAGGTGGAGGTCAGAGAGGATGAAATAGAGAAAAGGGAGGAATGAGGAAAGTGATGGAGGGATGTTTTGGTGGGTGTGTAGGTGCAGAGGGATGGGAGACAGGGAAACAGATGGGGGTTAATATATGTACTGGTGGCGAGTGGGGGAGGTCAGGAGGAGGGAGAGGAGGAAAGCAGCTTGTATGTGAAGAAATGTGAGGGTTGGTGGGGGGGTGTAGCTTGTAGGCAGGAGGTGTGGTGAGGAGGGGAGGGTATTATTTAGGGAGGGATAAGTGAACGCTGATGGAGGGGGGGGCTCCGTCTTTCAAAGGGTATCGACAGATCTCCTCTCCACTTCACAGCCCTCATCAGCCCCACTTCTAAACATACCATGCCTCTCCGTGAGTTAACGAAGTCTCCCCTCCCGGCGGCACTCACACATATGAGCTGATGAACTCCGCGATGGCCACAGCACTCTGGGCCTTCTGTCGTGGTGAATGGGAGAGTTTAGAGCGGGCTGAATTGGTGCTTCAGAGAGGGGCATTCTCCTCGGAGCTCACAGCTCCTCTGGGCTCCGTTAAAGCCCTTCCATAGTCAAGGAGGTGTCCCTCTTTTTATTGGGCCGCTGTCATTCAGAATATTGTTGAACCATAGCAAGGTGGAGAGGTTAGAGGAACAGGAGGATGCAATTAAAACAATTTTACAAGACTGTAAATCCGGTAGGGAGTTTAAATCTCCAAGGTGACACCAGTCCATTCAGAAATAAAGACAACTTTGAAGGTTAATAAAGAGCAAGTTTAAAATAAATGAAAGAAAGATGAAGAGAAACTGCAGAGTACATTAAATCGGTGAGTTTTTTTTCTGTTTGAGGAGGGAACTATGAGAATTTAAGAGTCAATTTTTAAATGTGCATTTGCATTTTTGATAAGAACAGGATGATACTAATTTACAGCACGTCAACTGAGAGTTTCAGTGGCGTTGCTGAAGTAGCAACGACAGTTATAGTCCTGCTGTGCACAAGAAAATCAAATGCAGCTATCAACATGCAAGAAGCACAGCCAGCACAAGTGTGGAGAAACATTCTTAAGAGGGCCATTCACTCCTAATTCACCTCAAACAATCACTCTGTCTGGTCTTAGTTATGGCAGATTGGGTTACATGATCCTTGGAATAATGAACTAGTACGTCAACACTGCCAATCCCACACAGTGCAGAAAAGGATCTGCCTGTTCCAGCCCCTAATCCAGTCTGTTTGTGAAACACAGACTTTGGCGTGACACTTGTTCCCCATAGACTCCAGTGTTCTCACTGGAACCCTCCAAGCGCCAGCTTACATTAGCATAACCGAGAGGCCCGTCCCTTCACTACAGGATTAGTTCAGCTCTCCTCCCACTGTCTGATGGCTCTTTATCCAGATGGATACAGCCTGTTAGAGGTCTTAACCACACCATTGCCACTAAAGTCATTATCATTCACCACGAGAGGGAATCAGCTCACTGAGGGTCTGCTGTTTAGAGGGAGAGTGACATCTCATTTGGGATGGTTTAGAAGAAAAGACAGGGAACTCCCCTTCAAACTATGATGGAGTAGCCAATAAGTGCCCAATCAATCCATCTTTGTGCTGGAGTGACTGTTTGTCGCTTGTTAATTTGGCCTTTTATAAACACTCTATTTTTGTAAAATGTGAATGATGTTTGTGGGACACATGCAGGCTTTTCACAAAGACCGTTTTCATCTATTAGGAGACAGATTTATGATAGCGGTTTGTGGATCGTGTCAGAGCGTTTGCACTTGTTACATACTTGATATATTTACAGTACGTCATCCTGGGAACGATGGCAATTGCTTGTTGTAAAACTTTTTCACAGAATTAGATTAGTCAGACTTTAACCTATAACACAGAAAATTTAGCTTGAAAATTAAATTAAGCTTGAAAAGACCCCCATTCTGGGAACTTCTCTGTTCACCCATGTGATTGTTGAAACTTAAGTGGCGCCATCACCAGACAGATGGGCTTGACAAGATGTGTTTGTCTGTTTGTCTATATAGCTCCATGTAAAACCATGAGTTAGGACACTTTAACATCATCCTCACCGCTAATCCATCAGACTCAGGTAAGATAAATCTGCTGATGCTTTACATTATAAAGTAGGCCGGTTTGGTAAAGTCTGTCTGTCTGGCTTCTTCACCCAAGAACACTATATCTAATTTGTGATGGGGTCAGTGATATTCTTTCCTGAGATGACAGTAAACAAAAAGTTGTGGTTTTATAATATTTAGCTGTGATACATATGACTTGATGTGAACACCTTTCTGTAATATGCGAGTCTAAAGAGGGAATAAAGAAGAAACAGAACAATACAAGAGAGGAACAACAAGGAGATTCATTTGATTTGAAAAGAAAAAAGTAATCATGCATGCATAATACAAAAAAATAAAAATGCAATAAAAAATGTGACAGAAAACGAAAAACAAAATATCTGTAAGAAAAGGTTAAGCACAGAATGGCTTATTTGGTCAAAACAAATTGATTTATTGCACACAAATTCTATTCTTACCTTTTTTTAAGTGTGTAATTTTGTAAATGATTAATGTGATTTTTTGATAACTGTGAAATCAGTCCATCGTTGTGCTGGAGTCACCGTTGTAGGTTGGTTATCTTTTTAAATACTCTATTTTTGTAAAAATATGGATTATTTTTGGGACATGTGCAGGTTTTTAAAGATCATTTTAATCTATTAAGAGAAAGATTTATTATAGTGGTTTGTGCACTGTGTCTGAGTTTTCAAACTTCTTTCACATACAATTGTTTGCACACAATTGTACCCAACTGTTTTCAGTCCATCTTTGTGCTGGAGTGACTGTTGTAAGTTGGTAACTTTTTTAAACACTCTTTTTTGTAAAATATGGATTTTGTTTGTGAGACACATGCAGTTTTCTTTTCTCAAAGATCATTTAAGTCTATTAAGAGAACAATTTATCATAGCATTATAATAATATCTAATAAAAACACTTAGCTTTACTTAAAATCATTATTATCATAGATAAACTACACTAACAACAGCAAAAGATAAATTTTCAAAACTCTAACTCACTTCTCAATATTTTCCACTTTCACATTTGGCTGTTTTCCTGTTTTCACACTCTCTCTAACCTCTTGCCTTGCCCTAACCTCCTCTCCACCATACAACTCACAGTTTTCTTTTCTCTCATGCTCTCTTCCACTCTTTCTCCCGCCTACACTGCACTCCCCTTATTCCTCCGTCTCACTCTCAGTCTCTCTCTCCCTCGCTCGGCCTCGCTCACCATCCCTCTCTCTCTCTCTCTCTCTCTCTCTCGCTCTGACTGTGCTGTCTGCCTCAGCTGTTCTCAGTTGCACTGTGTGCCTTGTGCTGTGGGGACAGGGCAGAGCTGAGTGGGGCTGAACTAGTTCAGAGGAGTGTTAAGTAGAGACAGAGAGGCAGATAGAAACACAGAGTGAAAGAAGGAGAGAGAGAGAGAGAGTCAGTGAAGATTGTGCTTACCAAGCAGACGGGATTAACAGCTGAAACAAACTGGACCTGTTTTCCTTTCTTTAGCTGAACTCAGTGATAACGTAGATGGCTGTTTAGACTGAGCTACATGCTTGTTAGACACCAGGACAGAGAACTATGGCAGTCATGCCCACACTTACTGACTCCTCATTGCATTTAGGATAGTGAAGAGCTTTTATTGGTGCTTAGTTTGGTTTACCACTGACTTACTGGTGTGGGAGACTCACTCACTCGCAGTGACATTGACCCATAACCCCCAACTCTGCTTTGCAGGTCCCCTTGAGTTGGACTCTAATTTTGGCTTTTGACCCCTGGAACAGGAGAGGGTTTTTGATCTGGCAGGAGACAAGAGCTGCTGTGAACCAACCTGGACTGACCCACCAGCATTTTTTTTTTTTTGTAATTATTGGACAACAGGAACGATTTCTACTACAAGCTTTTTTTTCTACAAAACCAGACCTGAGACTGTTCGCACTGGAGTCGTATATTTAAAGGACCTCTGTAGCCTCTATTGCCCCTGGACCATGGGCTTTCTCTGGGGCAGCTTTATGCTGCTATGTGGGGTGACTCTGCTCAGGACGGAGGGCAGCGGAGCCCAGCAGACCAAGACCAACGTTCCCCGGCTAAAACTCTCCTATAAAGGTGCGTCTGTGAGTTTGTATTGTCCTTTAAATGATAACACCCTCAGTGATTCAGCTTTTCACGCTTGTCTCTGTGGAAGAAGGTGCCCTAAAGCTTTTCCTCTTGCTCATGCAGGTTTAAATCCCACATACAGTGTCTGTAGAAGTTATACGAACTGTGAGATCCTACATGCCCTCTATGAGGCAGAAAGATGCTTTGGCTGCGGTTACTTGTGAAAATACTAATAACGTAAACTGAGTTGCAACAAGTAAATTAATTCCTTACGAGGCTGTTAAACTTTATGGCGTATCAGGCTAATACGCTGCTTGTGCCACAGAGTAATGCATCTGTATACGGTTTCAGTCAGGCACAGATCCATTTTTGAACATGAAAATAGTTTTATACGCTATTAGATTTTACTGACCTCTAATAGTCGTGGCATTTATAGCATTTATGTTCAATTTACTTGGGAAATAGAGGAAACTGTGGGGTTGTCATGGAAAGCTTGTGGCAGTGGAACCATGTTTCTGAATCAGCTGGGGGCTGATAAATAGGAATTAATGTGAATAATTCCTTATATAAACTATTATCCCAAGAAGACAGGGGTTTAAGTTGAGCAACTTCACTTGCCAGATTAAATAAAAGAAGTGCTGGAGTCTAATGTATCGCTACGGTGCAGCTCAACTGTTTATTACAGACGTCTGTCCCTGATGCATTCCCGAGCGCCGTCCCTGTTTTGATCAACTACAGTTGTCAGTTTCGCAATGAAAAGTGATGCCAGATACGGACTCCCTGGCAGTTGAGCGTCATTTATCCCTCTCTCTCTCTCTCTCTCTGTCTCTCTCGCTTTCTTTCTTTTTTTTTTTCCTGGATGTCATTTTTCCGCTCCGTTCTCTCCTGCATGGTAATTATACTCAGGATGAATGGTGCAGGTCTGTTTCAGCAGATGGCTCTCCCAAAGAGAAATGTTTCTCGCTCAGCACTGGGGGATCCATAATTATACACACAAGTATGCACACACACACACACACACACACACACACATAAATACATGGCCATCTGTAGATAGCAAATGATACCTGTGAGGGTATCAGTCATTTAAAACCACATGCTGTCAGTTTGGTGAAACACGCCCATACAGTGATATCTCTATTAGGAGTCGGGGCCTTCAGGTAGCAGTGTGGCCTGCCTGCTTATTTGGCTGCATTCAATATTTCCATTAGTCTTCATTTTGAGTTCGGCTGGTGGGGGGGACAATATTTGGCACCACCCCTGGCTGAGGAGTTATATCCAGAGAATGCTGAGCAGGTATAATTCTCATTCCTGCAATGTGGTAGAAATATTATTCATACAATACTGTAGAATTTCAAACATTATCCGTTGTAGGTCCCATTAGGCGAGTGCCAGGGGATTATTGCGCTATGAATCATTTATTTCATCATATAAATTATTTATTACCCCTGCGATAGGTGAAGCAGATTTACTCACGGAGGAAAGCAGATGATTCAGTGTGGTGAATTAGAGAAAGCATCTGACTAGACAGTCTGAGAAGTCCAGAGGAAGTCACGTCTGATCAGTGACACATGGGATGGTGAGGTGAAGGAACTCTGACCCCTACAGGTCACTGGGAATACTGGGAAAAAGGTGTACACGTCTAAATTAATGTGTTCAGGCCTTCACACACTTCCACATGTTTTCCACTTTCCTGCAGACTTCACTCATGTGAGCGCGGCGGGGAAGTGTTTATTTCAAAAGCGTGAACCCGTGCAGCAGCCTGCTCCCCCGCAGTATGAGTCCCCCAGTGGACACAGGTCGACTCTCTCAGGGAAACATACCAGCTTCCCTGACCAACTACCTCCACCACAGCACACACACCTAGCCTCCTTGCTAAACCTTAGAAGATTCCAACACATCTTTGAAAGTGAGGGTTGAGGGGCAGGAGGGCAGTGGAGTAGGGGGAAAGAAAACAATACCCCATGGCTACCTAAACAAGAGCTAACATCCAACTGTATCAACAATTAGGTGACTGGGTGATGATGAGGAAGCAGGAGTGGGAGGCCGCTGACTTGCAGCAGCAGCAAAAAGCATCATGAGAGTTTCACATACTGCATGTTAAACTTTAGCATAAACTGATGTGAGATCGATTCTTAACATCTGGGTAACTGGATCCTCTCGGATCCTCTATGGATGGAGCGAACAGGGATCCATATGGTTTTCAAGTTTATGGGTCACATGAAGCAGAGCACATAATGTTTACTGTCCAGAGGAAGACGGAGAAGGTGCTTGGGTTTTATAGGATGTGGGTGTACTGCCAGAAGTACTCCTTCTTCCCGACCTGTCCACCCCTCTTCTCAGCAGAGCCAAGGATTTGCACAACAGCACGTATCGGCGGACGCACATCGGGGCGAATGCACACACAAGAACAGACAAAAGTAATACTCTTGAAATTAAACTACAGAGGAAACCACTTAATCTCGCCGGGCCACAAAATGACTCTTCAGCAGTCATTCATTCAGCTGTTTGTGTTTTGGTGTTATTCTTGTTTTCACTGTGGTGTGAAATGACTTTTAATCAGAGTCGGAGAATGGAGAAGTTCTCCCAAAGACCTTTAATCCATAAGCACGTTAAGAATCTTCAGAGCGGAGTTGGGTTTCTCGGGGTGTGTGCGGTATAAACTCCGAATGGCCATGGGAAGGTATCCTACACACTCACAGGGCTGGATGTTTGGAGGTTTTATCGGGTTCTAAATAGTCGGCTCTAACTGGAGACAGGTTGAGGATTTGCTTTGCGATGTTAGCTTGCTATTTGACATGTTTCTCCCGGAGCTTTCAAACAAATCTTTATAGACATCATCTGCACTGGCTGCAACTTGAGAAGATAAATTCACTTTGTTTAAGTACATCTGCTCAGAGAGTCTCCACTGCCCGTGGCTATTGCCTTACAAATGGGCACGGTGTGATGAAGAGCTGGAAAATGTGGTTGAAATCAATATGACAGTTTTAATAAAGACATTTTCCAATGTGGGTGCAAATCACAAAATGAAAAACATAAATGTTCTAACCAACTAAACAGTTACCTTATGTTCCCAACTATTACACAATAGTTAACGCACAACTGTGTTAACAAAAGAATCAGTGCCTTTTTTTTTGCAAGGGTTTAACTACAATTAGCACAGATTTGTTTGTTTTAACGAGGATTTCAAGAAGCAGCAATAGCAGAGAGAGCAGACCATGTCATCACAACATGAAAACAAATATTAATTATTATCTAACTGCAGAATGAAACTCTAATGTTTACATTCTAACTGAATCTGGAATGCAACCGTTTATTTAAAACAACAAGCAATCAAACCGTAGGCCAATTTCGAATGTGTCAAAGCGTTTGAGGAGGTGTGTTTTCCTGCATATCTGCTTGACACTGAGGCTTTGTGGTGGATTCCCTCAGGCGAGGGTGAATCGATGACTGTACTTAAAGTGATGCAGTGATATGTTGTGTTTTGTCAGTGTGCAATCACACACTAAGCCAAAGCGAGCGCTACTGAAGCAGGGCCGAGCCGCGGCGTTCCTACATACAGCGCTGCCACGCGTGGGTTATTATTAAGAAGTGTATCTGCTTTTTTTCTTAGGAAGCACTTAGATAACACTCCCCGTGCCCTCCAGTTGAGAAAGAGAAAGACGGAGAGAATGTAGGGTAAAAGAGTTTATTTTTATCGGTCTCACATGGGACTGTTGATTCTTTGCATCCCTTCCATCTGCCCCCTTATCTCCCTCTCTGTCTCTTTGTCTCGTACTTTCGCTTGCTCCCTCTTTCTCTCTCCCGCTCTCCTTGTCCTTGATTCGGAGAAGAATAGGTGGCACATTAGTTATTTCACCAAAGGTAAAGGGAGGTAAAGGGTGGGAGCGAAGCACGCAGCGGGGCAAAAGCTGCTCATGAAACAAGACGTTTTCAGGGTTTCTTGACAACCTCAACAATTGTAGGGTGAGACAGAACATTAGTAAAGTATGGCAGGGCGGCAGCTGACACCTGTTACAGACCACACATTTCCCCATCCACCTGTCCGTCTGCCTCCGTCTTTCCGTCTGCTGCAACAAACAGTCTATTGGCCAAACATGTTTCATGTGGCACGACGTTAGACTTTACTGTTACTGTCAAACGTTGCCATGGAGCTCACGGTTTGGTTTGTCAGAATCGACTTCTCTTTGAAGTTGTGGGTTAAACAGAAGACATAAGAAGCGTATCTTTACGTATGCATGCCCACCTGTTTATGTTTAACTGGCGGGGACACCGGTTCAGACATGTATAGGCTACTGCCTCTGGTGTGGCTTGAAAACATCCTGTTTCTTTCCAATAACACTCAGCGCGCCATGCTCCATAAACACACACACACACACATACACAGATCCACACACAATACCCATAGAGTATCTGTCTCTGGATGATTAGCTTTTAATAACTTAGCTGTAGTCTCTGTTGAATGGTCTGTTGCCATGGACACCACTCCCATACACAATTTTCACAAACCAGAGACGTGTGTGTGTGTGTGTGTGTGTGTGTGTGGTGGGTGGATGCGGTGATGATATTCTCCTTTCTGTCACACGGGGATGTGGTTTGAGGAGAAATGAAGTGTAGTCATCATGTCTGTGCAGTTTCCCTGCAGCTCCTTAACACCTTGCTGTTTATAAAACTTCTATTAGCAATTATTAGTTTCCTTTACATAAACAGATTATACACAAATTACACACTTTTTTTTTTTTTTTGCATTGTTTGAGGACCAAAGGAATCTTGTAGCTTTTCCAAGTGACTCATCACTGTGCGTCAGTGTGTGTGTATTATTAACTCGCTGGAGTTGCCACAATATCCAGAACTATACGTGTTTCCTTGTTATATGGAGCAAAAGTAAATATATTACCGATGGAGCATGGCTTCTCTTTCTTCATCATTGTCTCCCACACACACAAACGCAGCCTCGGTACAGGTGAGAAGGGGTTAGAGGTAGCAGGCGGATGTTGTGGTGCTGTCAGCGCAGGTCCACTAATGACTGATCACCATGGCTACAGAGGAAAATCAACTATAACCTCTACTGCTCCCTTTTCATAACTTTTTTTTATACTCTTAAAGCTAGTGGGTGTATTGCCCAATAACACCCTATGTGGCGTCTCAATTTACACATTAAAATGCAAACAGAATAATCTATTGTAGCATCTTCAGATTCAAGCACACTTGATCCAAGTTGATCCAACCGCACATCTGGAGGAATTTATTCTATGTTTATTTAAATTGTGTAAGGTATCTACGGACAAAACCGCATCGGCTTGTGTTGCTACTGTACGTCCTAAAGCAGCTTTCTGGATTCAAACCGGCCCCATTATGTATCTGACTGGCTACAAGCAAAATCTCTTCTTAACAACTTGAAGAATACTTTTAAATCCCTGCTGGATTTTTTTTTTTTTCTTACATGAGGTTTATATTTTGAGTCCTCAGAAGACTTTGCAGCAGGGAATCAGGGAGGGTTGGGTCACTCAGCGATGTGTGTATATATTTAGGAGACTCTCTAAATCCTTCCCCATCAGCACTGAGGCACAGGAAGCCAACGAAATCACCAAGACAATAACAATAACAGCGGGGTGTCAACCTATTGTATGCTAGCATCCTGTGTGTACAGTAGGGCCGCGCAGATGTGTGTGCATGCAAGTGAAATAATATCTGGAAATCAAATTGCATAAAGTTCTTCATATCCAGCTTAGGTTTTTCATTCACCTCAACACCCTTTCTATTTTTTAGTTGCTTTAAAAAAAACAACAAAAAACTATTGTTACCACCACACTGGTCTCATAAAGCGCATTCCCATAAATTCCGCTCTCCAAAGCCCCATAATTTGAAACAACTGACCTGTGTTTTGACTCAGAATGATTGCTTTAATTTACATGTAGGCAATTAAAAAAAAGCAGTGTTTGCTTTAAAAGTATGTTTTTGAAATATACACACCAATTGTGTTTAAATGGTGATGTTTGCTGGTTGTATTCCTTAAATCCTCACACACATTTTCTCAATTACCAGTTACCAGATTTTCATTGCACAACATTCACGACCCTCGTTTTAACCTGGAAATTCTTATTAAAATGAGAGAGAGAGAGTTTATGAATGAATAAAACCAGTCGGTGTAACGCTCTCTCTTCTCCGGTGTTCTTTTCTCTTAAACCAATTTTCCTCAAGCTTGTGTCTTCTCACTCTCTTGGGTTCTGACACACTTCAGATAGGGGGCATTCTCCCTGCTAAAACATTCATGAGAGTTTTTGTTTTTTACCTCCCCGAGAAAGAGCAAGAGAAAGAGAGAGCGGGCACCGAAGGAGCCGTTCCATAACTCTCTAGCCTTTTGTGTGGGTGGTCAATGGAAGGGGGTCATAGTGTGGTTAGACTTTGTTGGTGAGAACAAAATGTGAGAAGGGGAGAGAATTAATGTGTATACGTGTTTGTGTGTGTGTCTACACTTGTTCCACAAAAGGTGTTATAATACCATAGTCATAATGCCACCTTTAGAGGTCGTTACGGTAATTAGATCCTCAATGTCCGGGACAAGTCTGGCTTTCTGCTGGGAAAGCAAATGTCACTACTTTGCCGGACTTGGCAGACCGACGCATTAAGTTGCAAAAAACGTGTGCTGCAGCCCAGTGTGGTTTAGAGTAATCCTGCAGTTTGGGCTATGAAATATTATCAGAGTAATATGACATATATTCCTCCCAGTTTTCCATTGTGAGTATACCAAGTTCTGCTTGGCTGCGCCGATGAAGGTCACTTCCCCATGCAGACAGTCTGATTATGGGCTCCCAGTGCTGGCTTTACCTGCCGAGTCCAATTTGGCTTGGCAGTGGCTGTTCGCTGTCATCTGTCAGCTTGGCCAAGCCGTACGATTTCTGGTTGTGAGATGAGTTTGTAACGGAAAGGGAAACAACAACATTTATGTAAATAGGAAAGAATATAAATATGTGAGGGAGGCTTTAATAAAACAGTACGCTCCAGTCTATCAGGGATTTGGGCACAATAACCAACATTCTTTAATCTATTCAGTGTCATAGAGGTATATATGTGCTAGATGACAGCTGAGCAGGTCGACTATAAAGAATAAAGGGACGAACCTGTATAGAATAGAATGACTAAAAAAACAAACACTGACCTGATGGATTTTATTTGACTTTCATGTGACCCACAGATTCCAAAATATTTAACAACAATCACCATTTTTCTCCCTAGAAATGTTGGAGTCCAACAACCTCGTGACCTTTGACGGTCTGGCCGACAGCTCGGCTTACCACACCTTCCTGTTAGACGAGGAGAAAGGAAGGCTGGTGGTGGGAGCCAAGGACCACATCTTCTCCTTCAACCTCCTCAATATCAGCAAAGACTACGCGCAGGTACAACGCCGATGATTTGCATCCGACGGTTTCATCTATTGGCGGCTCTAAGTGTTGTTTCTGACCGACTTATTACCTGCCTTGCGTCTGTGCATCTTCATCCAAAGTGCCAGGCGAAGGCTCAGGTATCTCGGGACTCTCTTTTCTGTTTCTACAGAAAAGTGCCTCATGAATATTTCAGACCAGGGCTGTCGCACACGATCACACGCTGTGCCAGGCATGTTAGCTGCTCTCTGCACACCTGGATGAATAATGGAGTAAACTGAAACAAAGTGGAGAACAAATCGCATTGTGACCCCTTCAACTCTCATATATACACATCCGCGTACACAGGCTGCAGCTCCATCGGCTGACTCTGTAAAATTGATTCTAAGTGGGGGTGATTCTTTTTTAACATGTACAGGAACTTTGTTTGTGTTTCAGATCCCTTGGCCGGCTTCTCCCACCAGAAGAGATGAATGCAAGTGGGCAGGAAAAGATCTCTCGGTGAGAGCTAAAACCGTCCATCTTTCACGTGGGCTGTCAGCGTTTTGCCCCTCTACTCCCACAGATGTTTGAAAATGTCTTTGTTCTCTTGTACTACGTGCATCTCTGCAGATCTCAAAGCAAATCTCTCTTGTAGTTGCATCAGGATTACATGCACTCCATATACATGGCAGTTTAATCATACACAATATAAGGATTAATTTAGTTTTTTTTCTCCTCTCAGCTTGTTTATACCAGTATGTTTACAATCCATCATATGGAAAACACACAGCCCAGCTCGCTATAGGTCTGATCATAATCTTAGAGCCATGATTGAGACCATCATTTGACCTTAATCACTTATCAAGCCTCTGGGCACTCTATTTAATAGAGTAAAGCCTGGAAAATCACAGTGTTTTCTGCCAGACTTACTGGCACAACAGTACTGCATGAATAACAACTACCACCGTGTATTTAGGGATCGCAGACATTAGTGTTCCCAGCTTATTAAACCGTAAATTTTTCATTTTTCTGCTGTGATATTTGAAAATTGTTTGTGGTCGCACATTCTTTGTTTTTATGGTATTTTCAGACGACCCTTTGGGGAACGAATCAAAACCGGATTTAGAAGATTTGATAGGCTCCTACGAAAGATGAAAGCGATCCTTTGAGACAGACTTAAAGATTTAAAGTGGAAAGACTCATTTACTTCATTTAAATTAGACAAACTGGTGTCACCTAATTCAAGTGCATTACTGCGGCTGGTATTCCGACTGTAGCCCTCAGACTCAGCTCGTTTAACAAATAAATTCAAACCTTTACCAAAATCACATTAGAAACCACACAATGAGGAGCACTATTTATAATTTGAACCCTGCAGTTTTAAGCCTGTGGAGTATATTCACTTTAGAATTTTAAGTTGAAGTCAAAGCTGGACGTCAAACCAATCATGAGTTGTTGCAGCATTATGATTCAGGGCTTTTTCAGACTCCTCACCTCACTCAACCTTTCGCATGACAAGCCAAGCATCACATCTCCTCCAATCTGGCCAAGTGCAGTTTTAGAGCAGCTTGTGTGGTGTGGCGAAACACTGTGTAAACACGCTGAGAGGTTGTCTCCGCTCCCTGAAAGCTGTGTTATGAATTCTATCTTCAATCGGGCCTCAGGCAATACGCTGGGAATGTAAAAATCATGGCAGCGCTGTTTGTGGCTCAGTTCACCGGTCAGAAAAGGGCAAGTTCCCCCGGCCTCGGAGCCCTATCTCTGTGGCTGATTTTGAAGTGCCGTGAAGTCTTTTGTGTGTTTTCTGTAAACATTATGGCATGGGATGAATAAGGTACCCTGAGGGGTGGTCTCTCTCTGTTCCAGTTGGAGGAGAGTGAGAATTAAAGCGAGGTGGAGAGAGAGAAAGGAGAGCGAGTCCACTAATGCCCCTTGATGTGCTCAAAGCAAACACTTCTGCGAGATGAAGCAGGGAGGAAAGAATGAGGTAGATGGGTGTGAAAAGGTGTGACGGTACACCCACAGGAGAAGAAGGGAAGCTGTAAGGTTATGCGATCATTGAAGCTTTCCTTTTTCTCTAGTGGGTGTGACAGTATGAGGGCGAGCTGTCGTGATTGCATAGAAAAACTGAAAAATAATTGTTGTTAAATATTCTTAATTTGAGCTTCCTGGTGCAGATCCTAAAGCTTTCTCACATCACATACTAGATATTTTTCACACCAGGCCACATGGATAACATTTATAGATTGACATGGCAGTATGATTTTAAAGATTCCTCCACATTATTGATAAATTTACTTATTTGCTAAAACGTAAAGCACTCCTGTTTCTGTGCATCCACTCGAGCTATGGCAGGTATCACGGAGCTCTGATGCAGTGCGTTATTGCTTCCAACAATGATGTTCACCGCTCACATAAACTAACCCACATATAAATCCAAGGAAACAAGGACAGCTGCCGAAATGACAACAAAAGCTTACACAAACCGGGTATGCTGATGACCCAGTAAAGCCAGATGAACTTAGTCATGCATAATTTGTGCTACTTTTCTTTTTTTCTGCCTTTTTTTTTCTTTGCTGTTGTGAATATGTGATGACACATTCAGTTTTATTTGAGGTCAGGCCTGCTCGGGCACGTGCTGCCAGAACACGAGGAAGTATGCCATATGGCATCAGATCAATGCAAACGACACATACAGATGCCTGTTGTGTCGCACACACACGACAAACAGACACACAATAAGTAAATATGTGGTCCAGAAAGATTAAAGCAAGTATGAATATTAAACATTCCTATTTCTTTGCAAGAAGACATGAGAGATCAACAGAAGGCAGAATCAAAATCATCACTTTTGTATTTTCCGCTACTAGTAAACCCACTGATGCATTGTTATAGGCTTTTCCTGGCTGCCTCTTTTTTTTATTCTATGATCTGATTCACTGCTGTATAGATTTGACTAAAACTTCAAGGGAAATTGCACGGCTCATGTGTATAAAATGTTCGATGTCAGCAGTGGAAGATGTCACCAAGTTCAGAGAGAAACACTGCAGCGTGCATGTTTGTTGAAGCGGAGATGGAGTGGAGAGCGAAAAAAAAAAAAAGCACAGAGTCATAGATGACAGCGCTTAATCTGGTCATGATATCAGTTCTCAAATTATTACTCAGCAGGCTGCTACGGTTTATGAGGCATTCTCGGGGGAATTACAGCAGATTACATTAAGCTGTGCTCTGTTAGCATCGCAGGTCTCCATATTTAAGCGTTGGAATTGTCCTCTGTGAACTGTGCTCTTAGTGATTAGGGATGACCTGTTTATATTTATCCAGCGCTGTCACCACGTTTTTCAAGCTGTCCTTGGGTGTAACTGAAACTAGCTTTATTCTTTATTATTATTCATCTGTCTTTGCTACATCAGAGAGAGTGCTCAAACTTCGTGAAGGTGTTGCAGCCGTTCAACCAGACCCATCTCTACGTGTGCGGGACGGGAGCCTTCCATCCTGTGTGTTCCTACCTGGAGGTGGGAAAGAAATCAGAGGTACAGACACACTTCCACCACTGTCTCCGTTTGCTGTTAAAGACACATGTGTGGGATACACTGTAAAAGCTATACTGAGGTTCATATCAAGTATAAGAGTTGTGATTGGTCGCATATAGACGAGTCAGAGTGAATTATCTTCCTAATAAATGACACGACAAGTACGTAAAAAATGGTTTCAGTCAGCAAAATGAGGTGGAAAATTAAACAGAGTGTCACAGTCTGCAGGATTTGCAATACATCACTCTCATATGGAGCTGCTTTCTCTCTGCCTTTCTATCTGTGTGTGTGTGTGTGTGTGTGTGTGTGTGTGTGTGTGTGTGTTTGATGTGCATTTGAGTATAAGAGAGGAAAATTACTCTCTTCTCCTCCAAATGTCACTGAGTCAGACCTATAAATGTGAGTTTCCTATTCATTAGACGGCTATTTACAGACAATTAGAGGAAGGAAATATCTCTGAGAAAGCCCATCTACTGTGCATGGGCCGTACCCACAGTTGTAATTCATCTGATGGCTTTCCTATGAGTGTCAAGGTCACAGAGTCACAAAGAGTCACCAGATTTATTGTTTTCACTCTCAGTTCTTTCCCATGACGGCACACGCGAGTGGAAAGATGATTTTAAACTGCACCTGTCTTGCGTGTTTACTTTCTGCTTATGCATGCAGTATGTTTGTTAGTTTAATATTTCTGAAACATGATTTCTGCAGCGTGTAACTATGCAAAAAGTCAAAAACTGCTGCTTTGTATCATCAAATGTTATTCAACATAATGGAAAATTTTTCAACACACTTTTATGGGCCTTTACAATCCTATTTCCATTTTCATAAAATACTGCCTTTGTATCGCAACCTGGATTTCATGATGTCATGACAGCAAAATGGCTTTCACAGAGAAAAATTCCCCTCATTCTGAGGCAATTTTTTCCCCCCGTGTAATCCTCTATTCCAGAAAATAATGCGCACCCCTATATCTGGCTCTCTGTTCCTTTACATACAGGACAGCGTGTTCAGACTGGAGCCTCATGTAGAAAACGGTCGAGGGAAGAGTCCCTACGATCCCAAGCTGCTGACTGCATCCATGCTAATTGGTGAGTTCAAGACCGGATACGCTCGACTGTTCTTTGAGTGAAGTCATATAAATCCGTGTTAGTCCAGAAACACCCTCCGCCTTGCTCTGTCATTGCAGCAGATATATAGGGTGTAAAGTCAGCGTGAATAACAGTACATGGCCATTCCTGTCATTCATTACAAGTGGACCTGCTTTTACATGCTGGGAACCCGTCATTGGCAAGACTGTAAACTCTATTTCAATCTGACTGTACCTCCTTTAAGTGGTAGGTGTGTATAGTAGATGACACTTTATTGAGTTTTCTCTGCACTAAATCTCAATATTTTTTTTTTTTGGCAAATAAAGCAGGACTATGCGAGCATGTCTTTTTCTCTCTACCCCCAATTATTGCCAGTCACATTGTGTTATATCACACCGTTTAACCTAGCAGATGGCCATTTTCCAGCCCATCACCCCTCATCTCCTCTCTCTTTTCTCTCAGCTTTCTCACCAGCATTATTATGTACTCCCCCTGTCTCACACCTCTGTCCTGTCCCTTCTCATCTGACCCGCCATCCGTTCATCCCTCCCTCGCTTCCCTTCTCAGCCCTGCCTACTGTGTTAATGTCAATTTCACACTCCTGATGTTCATCACGTCTGTCACTGTCTGTGTTCTCTCAGGGCTCAGAGTCTACCTGTACTGCTAAGCTCCCCCTGAACAATTCCTCACCTACACCTGCATCACTTGGGGGGGAAGAAAGTCACTGAAGACTGTTTTCTCATCTGGCATTACTATGCTAACACATTTTATTCCCCTTACTCTCAGACGGGGAGCTGTATGCTGGGACATCGGCAGATTTCATGGGGCGAGACTTTGCCATCTTTCGCACTCTTGGCAAGCATCACCCAATAAGGACGGAGCAACATGACTCCCGGTGGCTGAACGGTGAGAGAGACGAGCAAAGTCACTCACTGTTTTCATTATACAGTACTTTCAGCGTCTTTAATTTTGCAAGCTGACTCTCAAAGCTCGGTTTTGTTTTTGTTGGCGCTGAACTCAGCTTTCAGCACGTAGATGAACATTTAGCTCTCCGTGAACATGCTGAGACAACTGTTTTGGCCTGTTGTTTGCGATCTTACATTCTATTAATCAAAGAGAAAAAACTAATCATCAAAAAGAAAAATGTCCATCTTGACAAGCTATATTGTAGCTAATGCTGCTATTCTGACCCACGTATGCAGTAACTCAAGGATCTGTTCTTCTGTTGGGCCTTTAGCTTAATAATCATAATACAGTTTACACTTTTACGCAGATGATACTCAGCTGTACTTGTCTGTCAAAGTCAATGCTCTCAGCACACTAACTCTCCTAAATGTTCATCTGGACTATGATAGATAGTGGTTCAATATGAAACAGAACCATACAATGATTTGTGTGTTATTATTTTAAATAGATTGTGACCGTAATTTACAACGAAGCTCTGGCTATATTTTAAGGCACATTTATACATGGATACAGATCATTCCGAAGGGTTAGCTTTACTGTTCTTTCCACTGTATATTATTGATGTTTATTATTCTCCTGCCTCAGCCAAGGAGCTGTAGCTTGTCTGCACATAGCTCAAAATATTGCAGTCCAAACAAAGTGCAAGAAACACATTATTCATTTGACTCTGTCCCGTGGAGTTTAAAATTCAATATAAAACATTTGTTATTACCTAACACGGCTCTATACAGTAAAGCCCATGAGTGCATGTCTGAATTGATGTTATATGGTAACTTTATGTCTCTTTGGCTAACAAGTATTTTTATTGTATATTTCAAGTGCTTGGTTAAAAATGAAAGGCTGCAGAGCTTTTTACTGTTCTACTCTTTACCATTCTACCAGTTAGATTTTTAGTTATAAATGCTTTTATTATCAAAAACTTTAAAAGTGGGAAATAAATAAACTCTCTACTTTGTTACAAACTTGCATCCGTTAATGTCTGTGTGTGTCTTGCAGATCCCAGGTTTCTGGGCGTTCATCTGATTCCAGAGAGTGACAACCCAGAAGATGACAAAATCTACCTGTTCTTCAGAGAGAATGCTATGGACGGAGAACATGCAGGAAAGGCCACACACGCTCGCATCGGGCAACTCTGCAAGGTATGCATACGCACATATACACGACTGGCCCTCACACAGTAACATTCAAACATACACAAGAGGATAGAGACAAAGACACACACTCTCACACCGACATTTTGTGAAATAGCTTCTGTATCTGGAAAAACACTTGACGGGTGTCTGAGTGGCTTTCATAATGGCAGCTTTCAGGAGCTGTTATCTGTGATTATTTTTAGCCTGGAGAAGAGTGGGCTTTGTTGTTGTGTGGTACAATCGCCCCCGAAGACAGAAACCTGAGAGAAATGTTAAATGTCGCTAGAACCTGAGAGGGAAAGACATCATGAATGGCAGCACTGTTATCCTAATGCCAGGCTTTGGCACTGATTGGGTCGGCTACACCCTTCTGCTCCAGGGGATGTTTATGTTAAATCACTGGCCTTGTGTCAGATTTCATGTTCCAAATCCTATTCTTTTTCATTAGGCAGGAATTCAGTACGCTGACTGCAGATCAGTGAGTGATGTCCAGCCTCAACTTCCCATTTAGCTGCATATCGTGCCTCCTTCCAAACAGCCTGATTACCCAGAATGTCAAGAATCTGCTGTCCTCAACACAAGACAAGCCATCCATTATGGATGATGTGGTATTAATTTGGGCCTATGCATACTTGGACACATTTTAATTTGCTGTCATAAATCACCACTAAGTTTTTATGAGCCAGCACTTTGTGCATCTGTGTTTGTGGTGCTATACTCTGGAAGGCACAGAGTTGCATATTATTTGGATGTGCACTGAAACACACAGTATGGTATGGCAGTCTTCGTTCTGCATAGCATCTAAAAATCCTTCTCTTTTTTTTCCTAAACAAAAAAAATTTCTTCGTTAACAATGCAAAAGTGATTATTTTTTATTTGAAAGCCGAAAATATGTTCATGCTTTTTTCATGCTGCCAACAATAAATGGTTAACCCTAACCCTTATAGTTATTTGAAAAAGCTTTCCGGTGTATATCATTAGTCTCACGGGATGTAGACTTCAGGCATAAACCATGCAGTTCTCTTTGTATTTTACAGCTTTTAAAAACCCCTGCAACCTGAAAATGGCTGAAAATAGTTAGTTAATAGAAAATAAAGCATGCCTGCATGGTCCTTTCGGTCAATTTGCCATTTTAGTTCACCACCAAAATAATTCCCCTACCACTATTTTGCAGGGGCACTGTCGCTACATCCTGGGCTAAGCACCGCCTGTGGCAACTGGGATCGTTTTAAAGAAGTGCAAACAAGCCAAAGTTTTTTCCCCCTAAAGTCGAACAATAATGAGGTGCAGCCAGGCTCTTCATTGGCACAGTGCTGTGGAGATAGTTGTGGCTGTGTGAGAGTCGTATATCACATACAGACAGCTGACAGTGTGTCAAAATAATGTATCTAAGGTTGAAATATGCTTAGTGTAAAGAAAGACGATTCAAGAATGTTTAGGGTCTTGATTAAATCTACTGTCTCAGATCCAACAAATACACATCATTTGTTATGTATGTGTGTTGCCATGGAGGCATTAGCTCCTGATGTATCAGCTACTGTAGTTTTGTGAAGAACATGTGTGTTTGCTTAACTTCTGAACTGCGGGTATCTAAAAGTTCCTATTCTTCATAAGTCACAGATGGACAAAGTGATAACGGGAAGAATTTGAAGGGCTTTCCCTACTTCTTTCCATGTCTGTTTTGTAATAAAAGTGAAAGATTGTGTCTATAGTATGCTTTAAAAGGTGTAAGAGGGGGCAAAATGACAGCATCGGTTCAGCTCACCTCATTCAGTGAGGGGGTAATATTCTCAGTTCAGCAGTAGGGTGCAAAAGCCCTCCATCAGCCTACACCCAATGCGTTTTTCTACACAAAACACAAGGCTGCACACAAATGCATAAGCCTGAAGAATGTGTTTTAAAATACCACCACATTGGCATATAAAACAGTTTGTGGAAAATAAAGCAGTAATTGTCTTAGTAGTTACACAATCTTCAAATAAAATGACGCGCTTGATGCTGAACTTCTACATGTGATCTGTCCGACAGAATGACCTGGGAGGTCACAGGAGTCTGGTAAACAAGTGGACCACCTTCTTGAAAGCTCGACTTATTTGCTCCGTGCCTGGCAGCAACGGAATAGACACACACTTTGATGAACTACGTGAGTGACTGCTGGTGCTGCTTCCCACATTATTAGCTTGAGATGAAATGCGACCTTTTCCATCGAAACTGCCCGTAATATATATATACTGCCTTCTCTCCGGCTTTCAGAGGATGTTTTTCTCATGAGCACCAAGGATCCCAAGAGCCCAATCATTTACGGAGTATTTACGACTTCCAGGTACTGTCATGGAAATGGAGTGGTTTTGTCCATAACCTTTTGTTTTTTTCACCAAGAACAAGCCCTGTCTTTATCTGACTCATTCTCTCTCTCTTTTAATTAGCAACATCTTCAAAGGCTCAGCTGTGTGTATGTACAGCATGACAGACATCAGGAGAGTGTTCCTGGGTCCATACGCTCACAGAGATGGACCCAACTATCAGTGGGTGCCTTTCCAGGGACGTGTTCCCTATCCACGGCCTGGCACTGTGAGTACATAATACTCTATACAAGAGCATGTGCTAAGAGTGTCATTAACTCTGCGTGGAAGTTCTTGCTTCCTCATTGCCTTCTGTAATGGCTACAACAACCCTTTTTTGTCTCCACAGTGCCCAAGCAAGACATTTGGTGGATTTGACACAACCAAGGACCTTCCCGATGAAGTCGTAACCTTTGCAAGGAGCCATCCGGCCATGTTCAACCCCGTCTACCCCATCAACAATCGACCCATCATAGTCAAAACAGACGTGGATTATCAGTTCACCCAGATAGTGGTGGATAAAGTAGAAGCAGAAGATGGCCAGTATGACGTAATGTTTATTGGCACAGGTACAAAGTGACATATAGTAATAATCATACTTGGCACTGTCACAGCAAATGATTTGTGGACTAATAAACAGACAAAGCGAGTGAGTAGTTCCATTCAAGATGTGTGCTTTCATTGTATTCTAGACATGGGAACGATTTTGAAGGTGGTGTGCATCCCCAGAGGCTCCTGGCATGACTTAGAGGAAGTCCTATTAGAAGAAATGACAGTCTTCAGAGTAAGTTATTCTCCCATCACTTGTTTTACTTCTTAAGGGGATTGTACGATAAGCATGCAAGGCATAATTATTATTTTTCTGTTTTATTTTTTTTGCAGGAGCCGACAGCCATTACAGCCATGGAACTTTCAACAAAACAGGTATAGACTGAAGCACTAAATATGATGTAATGTTAAGCAGCATCATGTCGTGTTGATGTGTTATTTTTGATCTGGTTCTGATAAATTTCACAATTTAGCTTAAAATAAAATTACCTACTGAGTGCAGTGAAGGTTGCAGATAAACCTACTTGATTTCAGTGCAGAGAAACATGCAGGAATAATGTATAATAAAAAAAAACATCTCACAGGTTACTACTGCTTATGCCCGTGTGTTTGTGAAAAACCTGCCTGAGAAAGCTTTTCCTTACAGGTGACACACCTTGCTTAGGGGCAGAAAGAGAGAACAAAGGCACGTTTGTCTAAAACTATTTAAACACTCGGAGATGAACCAACGTGTTATCACACAAAGATCTCAATTGTTGGCTTTTGAGCAACAGTTAGCTTGTCAACTTTAAATGGCAGGGAGAGAAAAGACGAGTCAGCTAATTGACAGGTAGGAGGGAGCTGAGCACCTGTAGTAAAATGGTCCACATCTCTGACTTGTACCTTTAAACGTAATCCAAACCAAACATGGCTGTAAACACATGAAACCTAAAACTTCTAAGACATAAAAAAATCTGAATGTCTTGTATCATTCTCTTTACAGCAACAACTGTACCTGGGCTCGAACATCGGCGTGTCTCAGATGCCTCTGCACCGGTGTGAGGTTTATGGGAAGGCCTGCGCTGAATGCTGCCTGGCACGGGACCCTTATTGTGCATGGGATGGAACAGAATGCTCCAGATACTTTCCCATGGCTAAGAGGTAGCGAATGCGTACTCCATGTTCGTACTTGTCGTGTCGCTGTCATGCCGCTGAGTTTTACAAGCTGCTCGACATCTTGTTCACAACAGCTTTAAACCTCTGACAAAGTTTTCACGGTTGTCTACGACGCATATTATACCTCCACTAGCTAGATCCACTAGAGCTTAAAGTAAAAAACACTACGAGTGCACAATTAGCACATGGGCTTCAGATAAAGCTTTATATAAATACTCAAAAATGAATATATGTTCATTAGAGCAACCTGCTTTAGATTTAAACAAGAGTCGATCACATGTCAGAATCAAGCTTGTTTAAGAATTATGTATGTTTAACACACTGACTATACTGTATCTGAGTGAGATCAAACCTGATTATACTGTATAAAAGGGTTTCCACGTCCAGATTGAGGACATATGCAGTCGGGCTGAAGTTCAGCACTGGAGCCGGGGCACACTTATAGTGAAGGCTTTGTTTATTTGCCAAAACCCCCCAAAGGTATAGGTTCATGTTTCTAGCAGAAAGCTAGAAATATAACCTGCCTCATGTGTTTACTGTAAATGAGAACCAATGTCAGGGATGTCTGGAGGCTGCCTGGGTGAACCAGGGGTGAGGAAGGTGTTGGAGGTTCGGCGGTAGTGTGGTTATAGTAGGGGATTGGTGGTGTGTGTTTGTATTATGTGTGTGTGTGTGTGTGTGCTTTGTGTGCAGCCTCCCACTCACGGCTTCATGGGGCTTATTGATTTAAATGCTAGCTGCACAGGATCCTGTTCTCACTGTTAGTTGGACTCTAGAGCCCTGCGTTCAGAACTAAGCCAGCGCCGAGCAAACTCTTACCTCCAATTACCAGCACACAAGCTCTGGGTTAGAACAATGGGAAGCAGGAGGAGGAGGGGGGGAGAAATTACCAGTTTGTTTTTGGTGTCTCCATAGCTGCTTCAGTTATTGTTTATAGAAAATATCCTGGGGGTAATGTTTGACACCAAACATGAAACTCCATCTCTTCTGTATCTGTAACTCAGAGAGAGACGACAGGCTGGAGTGATTGATTAATTTTGGATTCCTCCACACACACCCTGTAATTAAAGTGTTTCTACCGAGCGATGGGCTGCTTGCTGTTTATCTGTTTATGTTGGCCTCCACTACTGCTGCATATCAAAACCCCATTCAAATACACACCTACACACACACACAAACTCCCAGAACATCTATATTCTGTCTCTCTCTCTCACAGACACATGTTCAAAGTCTCTGCTGACTCATGAAGGTGTTATATTTGTGTTCCTGCAGGAGAACAAGGAGGCAAGATATCAGGAACGGAGACCCACTCACGCAGTGTTCCGATCTGCAGCACCACGGTACGTTAACAGAAACACAATGATCAAGACAATGTGTGATGAATATGTTTTGCTAATTGTGTTTGATAAGTTGAAATGGTTCACTGAAGTATATAAAAAAAAACGCAGCATGTCTGTTTTAAAGGGCTCAGACTGGCCTCAGAGCAGCTGCTGGCCGTTCCTGACATGATCAAAAGAGTAGGGAAGCCAGCTGAATGTGTGGTGGTGTTGTATTTGCGAGTTTTATGTGTTTTCTGGTGGTGTGAAGATTAGGGTCGGTCCGTGTGAGGCTTATAATTAACATGGTCAAGATTCCTCCGAGCCTCCTCGCTGTCGCCAAGCCCTCCGCTCTGCTCCCCCATCAGAGGCCTTAGTCCGAAAACAGGACTCCCACTGTGGTCTAATGTACTCACTCAGTTGTTTAATTACACATTTCTTTCATTTCATTTTAAAGAAAGAAAAGAAAACATGCTATCAAAAGCTGCCAATTTGAGAAGAAGTTCGGACACATAAAGATATACTTAGAGTTGTACATTTTGGCCAAAGATCCCATAAACAAGACGAACTGCAAGTGTTAAAAAAAAGTCTGTAATATATTTTGAACTTCACCAGACACACAATAAGATAAAATCAGACAGTGCAAAGACTCTACAAAGCACAGCGAAAAACTCAACTTGAAGAATTGTACTCACTGCCCATCTCCTTCCAGTGACTGTCACTGTGGTGGGAGCTGCCGACTCAGCACATGATTAAGTGTGATAAGAAAAGAGACAGCATTTTGTGACAAAGTAATGTCAAATGCAGTCCCAGTAATTGGAGAAAAACTTTTTTTTTTTGTCACAGAGAAAAGTACAAAAACAGAGAGAGGGTTTTGAAAGTCACAAAGACTTCATCGAGCTATTTCTAATCATTCCCCTGTAAAATAAATGACTGTACACAGCATTCCATCACAGCCACACCCAGAAATACCTGAAACAACACAGAGAAAACATTAACAACTTCACGTGACTAAACTGGAGTTGATTGATTTTTCTAGATGAACTAAGCGGACAGACGACCCTCCTGGATAAGACGGTGTACGGCGTGGAGAACAGCAGCACTTTCCTTGAGTGTAGTCCCAAGTCCCAGAGAGCCATGACCTACTGGCAGTATCAACACTCCGCTGACGACCGCAAACAAGAGGTAGGCACATCCTCAGCGCAAACTTAATGTTGAAATAAATGTAGATACAGATCTGTCTGCAGAGCAGGTACTTCATAATAAAGACGCATTAGATAATACACAATCCTATTTCATCAATATTAAACGCCATATTTGAAATTAGTTAGAAAGTTAGAAATTAGCAGCGAAGCTTATTAGATGTTTGAGGAACGCGATGTCATAATAGCTTATTTTGATGTGCTGAATCTCATTTCTTTTCTGTCTTTATCTCTTCGTCCTTCACTCTGTCTCCATCGCCTCCAATTTTCTCACCCTGCAGATCAAATCAGAAGAGCGTTTCATCCGCACGGACCAGGGCCTCCTGATTCGCACGCTGAACAAGAAGGATTCGGGCATCTATCTGTGCCAGGCGGTGGAACACGGCTTCATGCAGACGGTTCTAAAGGTCACCCTAGAGGTCATCGACACGGACCGCCTGGAGGACCTTCTGCATCGTGACGAAGAGGCAGCGGCCAGCGTCCCGGCTCAGGACTTTTCCTCGCCGAGAGAAACTCCCAATCAAAAGCTCTGGTACAGAGACTTCCTGTCTTTGGTGAATCACCCGACCCTGAACAGCGTGGACGAGTTCTGCGAGCAGGTTTGGAAAAGGGAGAGGAAGCACCGGAAGCAGAAAGCTCACCTGGTGCAGCAAGTACAAATGCACCAGCAGCAGCAGCAGCAGCAGCAGCAGCAGAAGGTTGTGATGAACCCTCACAGCCACATGCACGCTCAGGGGCTGGCGGCCAAGTGGAAACACCTGCAAGAGAGGCAGAAGGGACGCAACCGCAGGACCCATGAACTGGAGAGGGCCCCCCGCAGCGTCTGACCCACAAACCTTGACTTTTAGCGCTGAGACTTGAAACCACACCCAGTTCTCATTCTGTAAACCTGATTAACTTATCATGTTTGTCCTCCTCCATTCTGAGATACAGACTTCTTCCACAAAAGACTGGATAGAAAAGTTAAAATGCAAAAACACCACCCTGGTCTGCCAGCTGGTGTGTTCTGTGCGTGGGCAGCCGTGTTTACAGAGCGCCAGTACGGAGGACTGCAGGAAACAGGATGTTGTATCACCCCCAGTCCATTGAAGCATATTATCTCAGCTGGCCTCTGTGGCCCTGAACTTCTACAGAGGGACAGCGTCAACCAGCACAGGAACTGGACGCATATACCCACACTACAGACTCTTTGTGGAGGTGGCTGTGGCAGCGGCATTGTGTCATGGCATGTTAGTTAGGTGTCTTTGTCAGTGTACAGATGAGTAGGTACCTAAAAAGACGCGATAATGTCTTTTATACTGCATAATTACAGAACACGTGTGGGTGAGATTGTATTAAAAATAACAGTCTGGAGAATAAACGTGCAGTGGAATCATAACAATAAGTGACGCTCATGGAAAGGACAATAAGGAATATTTGGTCTTTTTTTTTTTCGTATTATTATTACTGGGTAAATCAGCCAACAGGTGAAAGAGAAATGCCCGAGCACTGCAAGAAACCAGGAGGAACAGTCATTATTTGGTCAACAAATCTACTTATGTAACTAAGATGTGTAAATACTGTATTCTACGATGTCTCTAAAGGGAATGGCTTGCAGTTGTCTAGTTGCTTCATGTTGTTTTTCCCCCCCAGATAGAAATGTATTTAAGAAAAAAAAGTCTGTCGAAAACAGTCGTAAACAGGGAGATTTTGTACTAGTCTGTGTGTCTATGCCCTAGATAAGCTTCCCAAACAAAGACAGGTTTTATTTTTTTTTTGTTAATCATCGGATTCTTTTCAGCATTTATAAAGTTTAGAGGTCTGCCAACTGCATCACACCAGTGCGCAACATGTCACACTGAGTTCTTCCATGTTAATTTAATTACACTTTGTATACGATTTGTTTCCGCTACTTGTGTATTTATTGATATACGGTTCTGTACGTTATGACTTTTGATGTGCAGACTTTTTTTTTTTTTTTTTGCAGTTCATCATTTCATTAATTTGATTTACAGGACCAATCTCGTTAAAACAAAAACAACTGTATTATCACAAATACTGTAGTAAGACTGGAAGTTATTTATCAGTTTTGATCAATATCGCCTGCATTACATATCAAACGCACTGAGCAATAAGCCAGTATACATACTGTAATTTTTCTTCCACATTTATTATCCATACTCTTCACAGGCGGCGCACTGTGACGGCTTCATTTCACTGCATGTAAACGAAAACCTCTAGTTTTTTCCAGAGTATAACAGCATTTTACTAAACGACGCGCACACACAAAACCTGGAATGTAGCTGTGAAAACATCATGTAAATATAAATAGTATGGTCTATGTTTGACAAATATGACACTAGTGCATGTGAATACTATTGTAGTGTTCCTGTTTTTGCTATGGCAATGATATTCTAGTCTGATGTCGTCACCGTTAAGTTGTTGTTTGCTTATGCAGTACACAATAGTTACTTATTTCAAAGATGTACATACTATTTCTGTTAGGACTCTAAACTGTATACTTGATATAAATAAGAACTGAACAGGATCCCTCTATGGATTGTCCACAGACCACTTTGCAACACATCCGTCTGTCAGATAATGTAAATGAGTGTTCGCCAGCTTCATCTGCTTTTGGAAATCTACACCAAAGGTAGATGAGAAACAGTTGGAAGTCAGCCGGAGGAGAATCTAACAAACTAAGGTGAACACCAGAGTTGTGGATTATGATAAGATCATCATCATAAAGAGAAAAAAAAAAGTAGGGGACCTGTCTTGGAAGTGAGGAAATGAAGTGCTGCTGTTGCTGCTTTTTTGGCATGATGATGATGATGATGATGATGATGGTGGCGATGTATTCTACTGATCTAATAAATGTCTCTTCATAAAGTGCTGCTTTCATTAAATCTGTTTTTAATATAGTATGTCCTGCTGCGATTGTGGCACATGGCGAATTCCTGCAGCGCTAGATTATCCGATTAGATTCTCGAGTAGCTCACTGCGTGCATTTCCATATTAATGAGGAAAACTTTTATTAACTTGTATAACTTATCTTCAATATTGAGATTTATTAATGCTGTTCTTGTCTTTTCTCCGCCCTGAGAGGAGCCGACAGTGAAACCTGGCTAATTAGTGATTTGGTTAGCAGAAGCAATTACCATGAATGATAAATATATTAAAAATCAATGTGGTTGAACACGACAGGCCGAGTGTCTCTCATACTGTGTGTTGAAAATGAAGCCGTGTACTATGATGTGCCTCAGGCGGTGGAGGAATTACTGTAAGTTGATATTAAGACCTTGATGGGCGACGTGAGGTGAATAATACATGAGATCCCCACAGACGCCAAGCTATTGTGTTTGCATACTGACAGCAGCTGGTGGCAAAGTAACATTTGAACTCGGCTTCCTATGTCTGCAACTCGAGCAGAATCAGTGCAAAGAAAGAGCAGAAATCACTTCTCAAGGGTTTGGCAGAAACTTCATCTCACCGACAACAAAAGACAAACCGTGCTGTGCTACTGCCCTCTGGTGGTTACAACACAAAAGCACATATTCATTAATAGATGGGAAAGTGATTTTCCATCTGTTTGTACAGCATATGTGCTAAATAATGAGGCTGACTCTAAAAAAAAAACACAACATACTTCTTACTATTATCCCACCAGAGCTTTTGTTGACACCTTTGGTTCGAGGTCAAAGGTCAGACAGCGTACGTCTCACCTGGGCTTTCACCTTGACCTCTGCGGTCGATTCAAGTGCTGCTGTGGGACCTCATGAGTTTCAGTCCAAACACTTTTAGACACACTTCAAAGGAGAGGTTTCAGTGTCGAAGTGGGAGAACCCACACTTTCATCTGGAAAGAGATGGACGCCCTCGGACAGAGTGACACGTAGTGAAGAGATTTTAAAAGAAGCACTATTGTTATCAGAGCGCACTGCTTAGAGTTGGCTGTGGGTCTACCTGTGTGCTTGTGTGAGAATAAATAAGTTAATTGTGGGTCAGGAATACAATCCAGTAATGTGATTCTGCTTGTTATGGAAGGGTGGACTTAGTGTATACATAAAAAGCAATACCATATCGTACTATAAACATGAAGTACAGTGTTGGATTATTAGATTAGACGTACATTAGATTAGATTTTGGCAGCGGCCGCCTTCTAAACCACACATAGACTAATGCACCCTTTATTGTATCCTCATGAAAGAACTTTCTAGCATATGATGCACAGTTTGGTCATGTTGCCACGAAGTCTAAATAAAGTGAGCATGCAGTGCTTTTACAAATAGGTCCATGGTAGTATGGTATTGCAGTCATACCAGCAACACGGTGCTTGACTGCCCTCCGGTGGCCGAAGGGACCAATTTTGATGCGGTTCAGTTCCAACATTCCACTCAGCCTGATGGAAAGTAGAAAACTCCCTTTGACTCCCAGCCAAGGCCACGGATGAGTGAGAAGGACCGCCCTGACACTCACACAAAGGACCACTACAGCCAGTGGAAAAAACTGATATACGACTGACAGACTGGGAGAGAAGGAAGACAGAAATTAGAAATTAATAATCTTGCTAAAAAAAAGAAAAAAAGCTCCAGTACTTTCAGTCTGTTTTTGGAGAGCGTTTTATTAAATCCAATTGAATTCAAGAAGAGAAGGAAACTCTGACAAGCATGCACCGTAGAAATGGGATAACTGCAGAGGGAGTGTGATTAGTCACCTTGTCTGCCACATTATGTGAAACTCATCTTTCGCACAAAAAGGTGCACTGAGTTGAGTAAGAGCACATGTTAGCAGTGCAGACACCAAACATTAGACTCTTTTCCTCAGACGGTCATCATCTTTTACTGCTGCTGCATCGTTTACTGCAGCTGTGGGGGGAGAAAAAAAGACATCGGTGTGCTCTCTTCTATCTGGGGGCTTGGGAATAGTGAAATGGAACAGAGATAGTCATTTATTTTACACTTGTGACATTACCCTGGGCTGATGCTTCACTACACCCAGAAGGACTCGACTGGAAACATGTACACACATGCACGGATCACAGGTGTGTTCCAGCTGGTCTGTTCTGGGTCACCTTGAGAGACTACACGCCAGAAGATTTATGGAAATTTAGAAGATTTGGCCAGCTATAGCGTATACATACACACGGGATACTAGCTGATTTTTTGGGGATTTCAAGCCACACCTAAGGAACACCGCCAACGCTTTAGGAGGTGATGCCACACAGCTGGGAGTTGAAGGGAGAGCTAAGTTAACCCGAGAGCACCAGTGAAGCCAAATACAACCCACTCAGCCACAACACGTTTGACATCTACTCAACCAAAGAATGACCCCCGGTGGCATCCAGTCCATTAGCCGCCTGTCAGTATGACGAACCTCAGTTGCCCCACCTCATAGCAGAATATGGTACATGTCAGTGCTCTCTGAGTAAAGTAATGAGCTACTTTTTCCCCCCCTTGCTGTCACTCATCAAAGGGTTGTAAATTTATTGCACTGTTCCTGTCATCACCATAGAATCAATACCAGCAGAGGAAGCACACAGTGTGGTATAAAGTTATTTCTCAGAAAACCTCATTTAACAGGCCGTGGCTGAGGTTGAGGGGTTACTGGGTCACTGATGAATAATGCTTTGAAACACGATCGGGTTTGTTTGTGCCGCTCCTGATCAGGCTCTGCTTAGCGTGTTAACTGCGTGTTAGCATATAGAGACACATATCCTGCCGTGGGTAACTCCGAGGACGCAGTATTTAGCTGTAGCAGCTGTGACAGTTTGGCAGCGGTAGTGCCGGTGGTGTGCAAAAGGAGTTGGCAGGAACTCTGAGTACCTCTCTGCTATGAGTGACAGAATGGCACGAGAGGATTAGACCGGAGGTATGACAACACTTTAGCTCATTTCCGATGTGGAAAAGACTTGATCTAATGTTATTTTTATGACTGTCACGTAGCGTGGTGTAGTTATGGGACTCTTGTGAAACAAACATGTATTGATATCATGGGTTTCACATACTGCATATTTTACCATAAATGTCAACTTAAAATGCCTTTTATTGTGAAATATAAGCACTTTTTTTCCCCAGATGGTTCCAGATATTTATTCATAAGGTGAAATAAATATCAATTCTTCTGTGCGATATATGAAACGACACACAGCCTTACAGGTACACACATGCAAACACACACCTGCACCATACATATTTGCAGTGGCAAAGTTGTCGTGACATGATGAGCTACATTTTTTTTCTTCTTTTTTCGGTAGTTAATCTCAATATAACTTTGAATATGAAGCATTTTATTGGTTTCCAGTAGTACAACTTAATTGCATTGTAAACTGCGGGCATCTAAAGTGCTGCCCCCACAATGCTGACAGCCCAAAAGCACAAAACTCTAATTTAAATCAGAGACCAGCTCACATCCAGAGCAAACAAAAGACGAGTCAAGTCTATTTATTCTGTTGCCATTCACACTTGACTCATCGAGTACACTTCAAACCTACAATTACACTGAAATATGTGTCACCATGAATGGTAAAGCAAGTCTGTTTGCAAGCTTTTTGAATTGTTTATCCAGTACTGATGATATACATTCCAGTAAATCAGTGCACGTGTTCTGTTATCGTCTAGACGGGCCGATATTACAACCGGCAAGAACACGAGTGAATCTATATGACAAAGCAAGTGTGAGTGTTTAAACCACCACAGCACAGTTAGATTGATGACTGGTAATGTGGATAAAGGTTACCTGGAAATCCGCTTTCCAGTTCTCATTTGCACGTGGTTTTGGCAAAATCTGTTAGTAAACTATGTGGTAGTGGAATGCAAAGAAAAAAAGAGAAGTACAAGAATCTGAGAAGAAGAAGAAAAGATTACAGTTTATTATCTGCCAAGCCTTTGAGGTAAATGCTGCTGGGCAGAAGTAGAAATCAGACCAAACGCATGCGACGGGGGCAATGAAAACAAAAGCATGAAAGCTGCTGAAAGGAGCTGATGAGATAGGATCAGACAATGGCTCAACGAGGCCTCTGGCTTGACCTTAGCTGACCCTGAGATGGGTCAAAGGTGCAACAAAGAGCGGAGGTCAATTTATCCACAGAAATATGTCTCGGCAGCCTGCCATGTGTCTGGCTGCTCCCTTCCACACTTCTAATCTGTAACTGATTGAGGTCTGCCTGAGCGAGGGTCCACTGGAACTCCTGGAACACATCACCCAGCAGGGGAGCTTAGCTCTGTGTCATTCTGCGAGGAAACCAAGGCCCTAAATCCTGCTGAATATTACAAGGACTCCTCATTTGAAAGCAACAGAGCCAAACAAAAATGTATCATAAAAGTCTGTCATCTGTCTGTTAAAAAAAAACTTTCAAACTTAACATTTAAAACTCGACAAAGGCTGTATGCGCTCAGAAGGATATACAAATAAATCCCCCTCTCCGCTGCTGCTCCCTGCACTGACCCATCACTGGGTTGCACTCGTTCCCACATGTGCACGTGAAAAAACTGTTGATGTATTTTATGACAAATTAGAAACAAGGAAACATAAACAGTTAATGCCAAAAGTCCTCTCTGTCGACAGATAGCACTGTCGGCCATACATCAGAGAGATTGTGCGCTGATCCTTTGACCATTTATCTATCTGCTTGGGGTATATTCAGCTTATATGTGATTAAATAGACTATCTGCAACACATAAACAAAACTTTATGAGTTGAAAAAGCCCCGTATTATATTACGGAAAGAAGAAATAAAGTCATTGCGTGTTTTATTTTATGAGTTCTTGGACGTTTTCGGGAGCAGAAGGACTCTTGCATGTGTTATTGACAGGTATATAGAGCTATGTATTTTTACTAAATTCCAGCGGGAAATTATCTTGTTACAGCAGCCAAGTCATGTCAGCCACAAAGT